CTAGGAAAGCAGTTGTAGGAACGATGTTTGAAAAGTGTCAGTGTCTGTAATAGAATGAACCATAAAAGTAGGCTGGTGAGTATTTCCGGCATCTAACTGATACTTCCCAAGACATATTGTTGGCCATCTATTAAACATAATGATACAAATTCATGAGTATGGCAATAACAACAAAATGAGGGAAGAAATCTTGTCATTGGCCTATTGGCAAAAAACCGTCATGTCTAAGACCAATCTAAAGTTGAATTATATTTTATAAGCAACACTTTTAATAAATGTTTATGAAGGAAAAAATGCCCAGGTGTATAAAAGTGAAGATGATGTATTCCACAGTAGTGTTTGGAGAGCAGCATGCAAAAACATAATTATTTTAAAAATCATCTTCCATTTACTAGTTCTTTGGTGTTGTTTGGGAAAAAGTCTGTTCTTTTTTGCATATTCTGTAAGTGTTTAGTGGCTTTATTGTATTAAATGAAGAGAAAACCTTCTAATTCACCCAACTTCTTCTATAAGACCTTCTACCCGTGTTGCCTCAGGAGAGTGGCCACCTGTGACCAGTGAGTTCCTCCCACTTGTTAGAGTAATCAGCTTTCTGTAATGGCTATTACTCATTCATATTTTTTAATGTAGAATCACTTAATTCATTTATGGAAATGCCAAAAAAGGAAAAATATACTGTAATCTCTTTCTATTCATGACTGAGCAGATATCAAAATTCAGCACTAGAGATTTTGGCAAGATCAAGGAGCCTTTAAAAAGCTCCTTTTAAAATTCTTCAGCCTCACTTTATTTGGAACTACAACATGAAAAGCCAAGACATTAAGGATAGTGTATAAAGACAGTTAAGGAGAGTATCATTTAATTTATAAGAATGAAACAGGATGGTCCTCATGAGAGTTCACAGAAGGAGCGTAAAGAACTCCTCAGTTCTGCTGTTCCTCAGGGTTTAAGATTTCTGAGGTGGTACAACAGTGGATGGTTAGCATATTTGAACTCAAGTAGAATTTATAATAACCGAATTATGTCCCTTCTTTCTTTATTACAAAATAAAATTAAAATGTGTAAAATCTTAATGCAATGCCCAAAGTCACACAGCTGGTTACTAACTTAATTGAGTACAATTTGATGATGATAACATATTTGTTAAAAATTGCTCACAATAAATCTTTTTTTAAGATATATGAGCTTTGAAATATACCATCTTTCCCAGAAGCCATAAAAGTAGGGTGGGTCATATTCAAATATTTATTATGACCAAGAGTTTTAATTTTCAGTTAGGACACTAACATGACTATTTATCATGTGGAAAGGCAAGATATAGTAAGAATAAATGTGTCTTTCTCCATGAAAAAAATAGAAAATGAGCAGGTATGTCTCCCCATTTCTAAACCACTGAAAATAAAAAAAAAAAAAAATGACTGACTACATTATCAAGTTAAGAAGTTAACTTAAAATTGAACAAGATTCACCAGATCCCATTGTATGGTTTAAAAACAGAGATGTGTGTGTATGTGCAAATGTGTGTATAATTTAGCAAAATTACTATAACAGTGTATCCTTTTCATAGGTACTATATATTCTAACTTTTGAGATGGTATATTTCTAGTCTTCCCATTATAATCACTCTGAATTTAATTCTGTCCTTTGCAGCTTATAGTAGATAATATAGTACTTTTTAATTCAGTGCATCTGTATACCATTTGAACTTCATCATTATACTGAACAACATTAATGCTATTGAAAGAGCTTTCTCTTTTGTACTTAAAATGCATTTTTTCACATTTTAATTAGTGGGGCTTGTGACTATATGATATGGGATTTCTTGCCTATAGAAACTGACCAAATCTATTAGTTACATGGGCCACATAACATTACAACCACACACCACAGCCTCCTACAATTAACTGGCCTACATATGTAGGCAGAGGCCTGGGAATGAATCAGATAGCCTGTAGTGAGCATCTGGCTTTCAAACACAGAAAGAAAACTTCTCTAAGAGGATTGCAGTGTCAGTTTCAACTAAGCACAAACTTCTGCCAAAAGTGAAGGAATAAAAAGCAGAGGAATAATGGTAACTAACTACAAGAAACCTACATAAATTAAAAAGTAAACAAATCAACAAAGCAGTCTTTCTGAATTATTTATGTAATAACAGAGTAGGAAATTTATGATTGCAGTTCTTTTTCCATACTCTTCATTTTTATAAGGACTCTTAGTTGTTTCCATTTTAAATTTTAATTTGTCCTTGTATTTACCTTGCACCAGGTATGATTAATGTGACCTCAATAAAAAGCATCATGTTTCAATAAACAACACATGAAATGGAAGGAAACAAATTCTACGAGGATGAAAATATGCATTAAAATCTGCAGTAATTGTAGGAACAGATGTCTGCATCTTCACTTGTGCTGGTAATTTTACCAGTGAGGAGACTCTGAATGCCAAGGGGGAAGTGTTTGCAGGGGTATCTTTCTGCAGAACCAGCAAATTCCCAGAGGAGGCACTCGTGTATTGCAGGTTACAGTTAGATCTGCTCTGCTTGTCACAGGCTGTGTCACACACAGGACTCTGATCACATGTCTTCTTTCCTTGTCCTCACTTCCCCTTTATCACCCCACCAGGGATCAGCCGATGCCTTCACTGAAGGAAGAAGAGCTTTCCGCAAGTCCCTTTGCAATTAACTAATACATGTTAGCTATTTTAGAAGTTTCTGAAACTCTTAATTTAAGCTAAGCCTTTGAAGCTTTCTAAATCAAATAAAAAACATTTTCTTGTAAGGGAACTGTAATGTGATACAAGCTGTTAAAGCAATAAATGTAAAACCTTATAAAATCCAGGAAAATTGGAATCACTCAGCAGTAAATATTCACAACACAAAGCAATTTATGAGCTTAGTACTTTATGAAGAATTTCTATAAGATTTCACAAAGTATTTGACTCAACACAAAGCTATATTCACTTCTTGAATATCTGAACACATTCTGAGAAGTTTGTATCAGCTTTAGCATTTAAAAAATGCTGAATAATAGGAAGACTGGCAATTAAATCATTCCTGAGAGGAGACAGTGGTTTGATTTTTGGCCCATGGAGGGCTGAAGAGTGGCCAAATGAGCATGTTCTTGACTGCTCTTCCTCACTGAACAGTAAAACTCAGTCAATTCAAGGGTAGACTGCAGTAATATAGATGCTTTACAAGTGCCCTTTCATAAGCAAGGGAAAGCTTTCTGTGCTATTAAATCAATAAACGTAGACTTCAGAAGAGTTGTGAGCCTGTCAACTGACTGTTAACACAATTCTAATGACCTATTGCAGCCTTTAATTACAGTAACACCTCTTTTGTTGGGTGTACAATACCCTTTATAAAAGCTGCATGCCTTAATGGCATAAGGGTGATGGTTGTACAGCTGATTCTTATTTTCTTTCCATACGCAGGCTTTCAACAAGCTTGGCTGGGTAAGATTATTAACACATGAGGGCTACCTAACTGCTTCCACAAACACACTCCGTGCTACACACTAACTTACTAGCGAGAACACCACAAGGTTGCCACTTCGACTGCCTGCCTCAGTGCTCTTCATCTTAATTCATACTTTCCAAATAGCTGTAAATTGAAAGGTTTATAAGGATTTTTTTCCTTTCCATATATTAACAAGAAAAAGACTTGGCTTGACACAAATCTCACTATTCCTTAAAAAAAAAAAAAAAAAAAAAAAAAAAAATTTGGGGGGTGAGTTGCTGAAAGCTTCAAACACAGCTTTTCCCTTATGTTCTTTTTCCTCTAGCAACTGGTCCTTATAAAGATACTCTGAAAACTGTTTTGATGTCCTGCAGTGTATCTGTACAAACTTTCTGTTTAAAATGGCCATTGTTCACAAACTCTTCCAAAATAAGTATTTTTGTGCTGATAACCTGATGTTTAAACTACTTATCAACATTTAGCAAAGGCCAAAAGTTGATGTTTAATTATTCTTTTGTATAAAATGTGTTCATTACTTTGCCATGAAAAATGATCTGAACACCTGTCTGGTAAGAGAAATATAAGGGTAAGTCTTACTTTCAGACAATTATCTTAATAAATAATCTAGCAGGCAAAATATCTCTTGCAAAGTAAAAGGTGTTTTAAGAATACTCATCGTTCAATCTGTACATCTCCTTGGCACCGTCCTTGTGGTTTCTCAACAGTTTGTCACTTGCCCAGTGCTAGGTGAACTCATTGCTAATCTTTACTCACCTCAACTGTGACATCTAAGAAATCCGTGGGGTTAACGATCTAAAGCATGAAGGCACACAGAACAAAGGTCCTTTGGCATTAATCCACGCGGGAAGGTTGAATACCAGCAACTAGCCTTGTGCCCTGGGCATTCATGGAGATGTCCACCAGGCACTCGGAGAAACAGAGCACCCTTTACCAGCTTACACCTAAGGCACAGCAGGCGGAGGGGATGGAGGACGCGGAGCTGAGGCAAACCCTGCGGATGCACCGAATCAGCAGAATACTAATTACAGGAGAGAGCAAAGCAACCTTAGGTGAGTTCCACCTTCACGAAAGGCCAGATGGTTCAAAGGACTCTTGCATACACAAGCGATACCCCGTCCAGCCTCAGACCTCTGCACAACCCAGCGGCACAGGCAGGCTGCATATAGTTGTGCCCTCATCAGTCCAGGGTCAAAGAGGAATCCGCTGAGCTCCTCTTGAAGGAGAGCGGTCCAGACTGTTCACCGCTGCATCTGAAGAGTGCTGTGCTATGCTCTTACCCTGAACTACTTCTCGCGTCGCACCTGGTGTCTGTCAACACCGTTCTCCGGGCCAAGCGCCCGCAGGTCCATCCACACGACTGTCCTGCCGTGCAGCACAGCGTCTCACGGCCACACACAGTAACTTGGGAGCGCCCAGGAAACTCCGCACGGATCCCCCGCCCGCTTGCCGTGCACTGATTAGTCCAGCTTCCACGTCTGCCCAGAGGCGCCTTCCCCAGCCTCTAGCAGGCAGCCACACTCACCTGGGGCCCCGCTGCCCTCTTGGTGGCGTCAGGCGCCAGGAACCCAGGCGTTTGCATCCGAAAGGACGCGTGCTCAGTGGTCGGGGGCCGCGGGCGCCTCGGGACGCTGTGCGCGCCGCTCCGCTAGCGGGCGGACTGAAGGCGCCCTCTTGGCACCGGCGGGGTCCCAGAGAGTACGAGCTCCTCCGCCAATCACAGCGCACCGAGCGGGGCGCGGGGACCCCGGCCAGGCCTCAGGCGCCGGGTCTCGGGGTTTCACTGCTCGCGCCAGCGACTCAGACACCAGGTCCTGAGCTAACGGGAGCGCGCGTCCCGCCAGAGGGCGAGAGGGCGAGCGCGGGAGAGGAGGAGAGCGCGCCGGGCCGGCCGGGGCGCGGGCCGGGAGGAGGTCGCGTGCCGAGGGGGCCGGCTGTCAGCCCGGTCAGAAGCCGGCTCCCGGAGCCACCAAGACTTCGCTACCGCCTGGAGACCCAGCGACGGTTATTGGCAAAGAACGCGGAGAGGGAACCGCTCGGCCAACACGCGCGCGCACACACACGCGCGCACACACGCGCACCCTCCTCCACCTCCCTCCCGCCCGATCTGTACAGATGGATTCCTTCGCAGGAAAATAAAGAAGAGGGTTGAAAGTAGGAGGGGCTGAGTGCCATCCATCTCTCCGCGAAGTATTTGCATGTGAAAGCAGGAAGCTGGCAGAGTTTGGGAATGTTTGAAAGCACCCCCTCCCCGCACACCCCGCCTCCTTAGCTTGTCGCGAAAGCCGTTGATCAATGGAGCTCTTGAGGCATGAAGGCAAAGTCATAAAACTAATCAGAACTTACAGTGTTCTTGCTTGATAGTTTTGCCCTTTCAGTCTCCTCCGACTGCCCTAGTTCTACTTTCTTCACTTGCTGAGCATTTCCTCCCCTGCTGGGCTCTCTAATACAAAACTTCCAAGGTGTGTGATTTACGCACGGGGTGAGGGACAGGACCCTCGCGCTGTTTTTTATTTACATTGCGCTGCAGCCTCTGGACTTGAGCGCGCTGTTTTCCTCTGCTCGGTTGCTTGATTTAACCTGATGACTAGGTGCTCTGCCACAGCGGTTAGAAAGGTCAGTAGATCATTCTTAAGTACGGTTCTTTTCATTTTGCCCGTTCTGCCCGTGGAATCTGTCTTCCTCTTACCGACTCGCCCTTGGCACTGATTCTTTGGACACTAGGACGTGGGCACGGACTGATTGGCGTCAGCATCTAGAATTTCCTGTACACTCAAGCGCATTTGCTCTTCACCCAATCCTGTGTTTCCTGGCCATTTAGCTGGCGTTCTCTTCCCCTCCCCCATGGACTCACTGAATTCTGTGGAAATAGTAGGAATTGCAAGCATTGTTTATTCTTCTGGCAAATGACAGTTTACCGTGCTACCCTGCTTCATATTAAATTTTAAAATGAATGTATTCAACCCCAAATCTCCCTGGATCCTGGATTCAGTGTTCATCTCAAGGTTTATTTCCATTTGACTTTCTGAGAATGCACAAACTCAGAATGATTACAACAAACATCTTTATCTCTCCTTCGGTGATATTTTGGATTCTTCCAAGTGTGCACTTATCTGTCAAGGGGATGATCGTTCACAGGGTACCCAGACGTCAAATAGTGGCTTTATTTTTTAACTCTTTGAAATGTTTTATCTGTATTTAAATTCTCCATTATTCAGGTTCCTATTATACCATTACAAACTCTACCTTTGATGGCATACGTTTTGTTAATGAGCTGGCTTTTGGTATGGAAAATTTTCTCTCAATTGTTCCTGGCTAAAAGTATCAGTAGGGTGAAGATTATGGAAGACTCACACATTTGGCCTAGAATGAATGTTTTTTGAATAAAGAAGTGTTCTTTGGTACAGGCTAGCGTTTAATGCTAATCAAACTAAGCTATTTGTAAACTGTTTATTTCCTATGTGGGTCATTCAAGTGTGTAAGGGGATATTGTGACATTATGCCATCTTCATTTGCTAGTTTGTTTTGATCACAGATATCTCATATTAAAGGAAAGTATTTGAAAAACATCACAATAGTTATTTTATTGATACTTTCAAGTTTTCTACATTTTTCCTTTTTTATTTTGTGCCTCTCCATAAAATAAATCTGAAGATTCATGTGTTCATCTTGAAGCAGATATTTCCATCTTACCTGCCTTCTTTTTTAAGAGTTCCCTTAAATCATACCCTCTACAAAGATTCCAAAGTGGTAAAGTGATTTTCTATAACCAAAATACTGGCCCTGGCTCTGACATTCTGACTCTAACCAGTTGGTCATCCAGCTATTCATTGTAGAGGAAAGGTCAACCAGAAAGAGAGGTCAGGGAGGAGTGCAATTAAATTTGGGATAACACAGACAATAACTCAGAGAGTCCCTTTTATCTAAGGAGGTCAGAAACATTCTCTTGTTAAGAGGATAGCGCTTAAACTGAGATGCGATGGTGAAAGTAAATTGATTTTATGAAGAACTGAAGGAAGAATGATTTACACAGAGTAAACAAGGGAAAAAAATGCAGACTTACACTGGTGTGTGTGGGAACACGAACTACTCAAAAATGAGAGGAACAGAGATGAAACACTCTGAAGTGAATGCCAAAGGCCAGATCTTCCAAGGCCTTCTAGCTCCTGGCAGATATTTATACTCTGTTTTTCAATGGAAGCCAGACATTCAGATCAACAAATAAAAGAGGAAATACATTGGTTTAAGCTCTGGTTCGGTGAAGGCAAAGACATACTTTATTAAGTTTTTTCCTCCTCTTCTTTCCCCATGACTGATTTTTGATTAGAAACTTGTTTTATGAGAATCACAAATAAAAATTTACTCTTAGTAGATAAATCCAAATGTATACACAAAGTTTGAGATTATATGAAATACAAATACAAGCCTTCACTCAATATACTTGTTGTTATGGATTAAGAACTCGTGGTAAACATAATGCCAGCTGGATTACATCAGATGCTCCACCTGAAGAAAGTTGCCAGGATAAATAGGTGGAGAAGAAGGGAGGTGTTGAGGGTAGAGGTGATGAGGCTTTGATGAATTGTTGCATTGAGGCATTGTGGATTCTCCTATGAGTTGCTGTTTGAGCTGTTGGTTCTCCTGGGGAAGCTTTGGTCCTCACATCAAGCATTGCTTCCTGGCTCCAGAGAGGAAGACATATTCCACTTGGTTTTCAAGATGAACTTATCATGCTGGCTTCCTGGCATATACTGTGCTTATCTTCAGAGGAACTCGGGGCCTCCATGTCGCTGAGGATGGCTGTGGTGCCTTTCAGGACAGCCCTGGTCTTTGTTGTGTGACTTCTCTGCTCCAGCATAGATCCCTCAACCCACTGGCACAATTCCTTCATCCTGCTGGCATGAACTTTCTGACTTCCACCACTGACCTTTGGGCCTTCCCAGCATGGATCCATAAAAGAGACTGGCATGAGTCCTTCTTGTAGCCTTTGGACCTCCAGTTGGACTCATGGGAAGTGTTGTCATGAGCTCTGGGTTTTTACCTGGACTCATGTGGAACATTGCTGTGGGATTTAGGCTCTTGACTAAATAGTCTATGTCTTTGTGTTGCGGCTAGATTTCCTGCATTTTCTTGTGTTAACTCCCAGTGACCATTATAAAAATAATGTATAAACTCCATGTCCTGATTCTAATTGTTTTCTGCACAACCCATAACTGCAATACTTGTGTTAGAGTAACACATACTTCCTTACAAACCTCAAACATTCTAGTCATAGGTTATACTCACAAGGAAACCTGCTCGATTGGATGCTTTCTTCCTTAAATGTCACATATAATATTTTTGATAAATTGTTCCCTCTATCCTACCTCAAAAGTACTCTTTTCAATTTGCATTCCATCTCTGAATTAAATTAATGACAGTACCTGTACAAGAACTATATTTCAGGGAGGTAGAATCAAAAAGTTAATTTTGTTATGAAATAGGTAAGAAAACGCTGAAGTGGCAGACTATAAAAAAGCTCTTCCACAGAGCAGACTCTCAAAGCATTAAGTCATTTATAGTCTCTTGTGAATTCCCTTCCAATTTAAATAATAAATTTTAATAATACATATTTGTTAAACAATGTTCAGCATTTATATGAGATTTTGTGTCATTCAGCTTATTTCATCTAATAAAACAGATATCACCTTTTAGAAAGGATAACATCCATGATGAGAGATCCTAGCTTACTGTGATCATTTGCTAGTCTGGTAAATGTCTCCTGAATCTCTGCTATGCAATACACAGATGAAAGGACAGGATCATAAAGATGAGATGCAGCTCTTATTTTCAAAAACCTTAATTGCAAAATTAAGGAGAAGCTTTTATGTCCACACAGTTTATGATTAGATAGATGCACAATACCAACTTTGGGAGCACAAAGAGGGGTGAAAATCCTGAAAGAAGAAAGACAAAGAATCCCCTTGAATAATTCTATGAAGCCAGATGATGCTTCCATCTGCATTAGAAGCGGGAAGTCCTTGGCAACCATGTTAAGACTACATGGACTGAAGCTGAGGAAGTAGCATGTTGCAGAAATCCAGCTAAGACAGATCCTGTCCTGGATTCTAGTTGTTCTTTTAGTAATGCATTACTATCCCTCAGAAAGCATGCAAACATTTAAGGATTTTTTAAACTGCGTTATTAAAATAGCATCACACAATCTATATTTCCCTTAAAGGTTCTTCTGGATGAGGAGGACAGTAATGAGTCCTGAGTGATCCGAACTCCATAAAAACCACAGAACAAGCTCTAGTGTTGGATAAAGGAAATGAAAAAATTTCTCAGGGATGATCTGTTTTAGGCTTTCAGTTGATATTGTCAAAGACACAACTTCTTTTCTGAGTTTGCAAGTATCTTTCTTTTCTATGGACTTCTTAGAAAATCCTACATAAATAAAATGGCCTAGTTGTTCTTTTTTATCATGCACAAATTCTCTATGATGAATGTGATCATTATGATTGTATCTAAATTGAACCAATAAACTTGATTTTGAAAAAGAAATGAAAAAAGTGGCAATGAAATCAATTGGAATAGGGGTGGAAAGGAAGTAAAGAATGCTTCTTCTAGAGAGTATCGGAGAGGGTCAGGGTCATCGGTTAACATTTAAAAAACTAAATTTAATTTTCTTCTGATACCTGTCAAATTTCTCTATATTTTATTTCTGAAGAACAAACTCAAACAGAAAAAACATTTGACTTGAATTTGGTATTAAATGCCAAAGCAAGAGAATACTTATTTAAATAGCATATGATCCTACTGATGTATGATTGTATCTCTGGATTCAAATATTTGGAACACAAATTACTTTTTTTAAAAAGCATCTCAAATCAAAATTGTCAGAAATAATACACTTAGGCTCTTGTTGTCTCTTGAATTACAGTTATTCTATAAAAGCCTTCTAAAACGTTCAGAGATAAAAGCAATAATGCAAATTTCTGTTTCATAGTGCCCTATCACTTTGTGATAAAACATCAAATCTTTTGAAAAAATTGAATTTTTATAGCAAAAGAACTCACTTCACAAATATTTATTGAGTGTGCGTCATATAGAGGTTTAATACCACGAACTGCAGAAGAGACAAAGGAAAGTAAGGCCAAGAACCTAGGGAGGTGCTTGCACATGTGTAAGTCTGTGAAAAG